GGCTCGGCAAATGTGCTGATGACATGGTTGATTTCGGTATACAAATCGTCGGTCCGAAGAGCGGTCGCCAGCGGGGCAAAGATGGAGTGTGCGACTTCGAGGACACCAATATTGACCTTGGGGTCGGTGTTGGAGAAGCGGTCAACGAGCTCCTGGGTCAGCGTGTCCCAACGCTGCCAGAAGTCTGAGTCGGCGATGATGCTGATGGTCTCGCCGAGCTGTGACTGAATGGAAGGAGGGCAAGCAATCATCAGGCCAATAAGCTGCTGTTTGATGGTCTTCACCTCGTCGGCAGGCAGCTTGTAGTCTCCCTCGGCGTTAACATAGTTGTTCCGGATAAAGTTCTTGAAGGCCAGCGAGGCGGCGAGACGGGTCTTAGGAGGTAGCGCCTCGGAGGCGACAATATTGAGAAGCTGGATGGAGTATTGCGGCTTGACCTGCTCTTGCTTGAGGGCGCTTTCGGCTGTGGGAGGCATTGTTTGTTAGCAACCAAACAGTTATGGCGGGGTACTATTTTGAACGGAGAGGGGGAGGGGGAGCTCCCTCTGTACAAACCCTTCTTGTGCTGAGAGGGATCGAGGGTCGCATCGAGTAGTTGGGCAATGGTGCCCATATCCGCAGCCATCTTGACGGTGATGCACGGCGATTCCTGAAGAGGTGATGGGGGGGGGAGGAGAGGTTTTGCGTGGGATCTTGCTCGTCCTCAAGATTTGTTTGGGTCCACGGTGAATGGGTTGCTGTGGGGGATGAAGCTTCAGCGGGACATATGCAATAAGGCAAGGTAAGGTAGGCAGACAGAGAGAGAGAGGGTGGGATAAAATTACGGGAGCATCGATTTAGGTAAGGCGGCAGGGGCGTGCGTGGGCCAGAGCGGGAGCCAGCCTCGGGACGCTTGGGCCTGCCTTAGATACCTACCTAGGTAAGGTAGGTACCTTCAGCCTGTTCATTCAGGGCCCCTCCCCCGAACTACAGTGCAAGGTACCTAGCATATCTCACTGCACGTCGTTTTTAGGGGGGGCAATACCACTGGAAACCACGCCTGGACACGGTGGCTGCCGGCTCGCTTGGGTCCGGTTCGAGACTCTGACCTCCCTTACCTACCTAAGGTAGGCCCCATGGTGGCATGCTGGACCTAGGCCGCCTGGTAAAGTTCCAACGCCACCTGCTCTGCCGCCCCCTCTGTTTTACTCAAGAGACACGTTCATGAAATCTCTTCTTGTCTCTCTCTTCTTTTCTTTTCCCTCGTCTCTGAAACAATCCGGCAACATGGCGAAAGCTGAGCATCCCATTCCTCCACCGGACTTCGTCATTGGCCGGAAGCTGGAAGAACAATGGTGCGAGACAGCGGGGATCAGCTGCCCACGCCCCAGCCAATCGCCGCCGCCCAAAGCTCACCACCTGCTGTGCGTCTGGTGGTCCATGCAGGTACTTCCGGTACTTCCTAGCAGCATTGCATCTTTCGATATCTGGATCTGGGCCCCTGACCTGACCTGCCGCATTCGACAGTCGGGATCGTCCGTCATTTCTCGTCATTCTCTTACCTTGATTCCTGATCAGTGATCACTGACCACGGATCACCACGCAGCCCTGACGATTTCTTCAACCCCTCCCAGCCGCCCTATGCGATATCTAGCTATGCGCCGCCCGTCTCCCATCGCTTGGTGATATCACGACTCGAACCCCGGCGCTGCCCTTCATTCGCTCCAGACGAGGCCGGAACAGCCACCGTTCCTGCAGAGGCAGAGCCTGCTCAGTCGATTCAACTTGGCACGACTCATTTCGCCTTGCGGCCCCAGCTTGGAACAACCCCCCCCCGACTCGGATCCTCGTCCGACGACACGAACTAGCTATCGATCGATCATCATCACTCTCTCGACACTCTCTTGATTGCCTGACAACGGCCGACCGGTTCCCACCTTGATGCGCCTACTAGTAGGTTGCCCGTGAATGTGCCCCCAAGCTCCTCTAGCCTGTCACTCTCGACCTTGGCACCCATATACGACCTCCCCCACCCAAACGCTGCACATCGTCGTGACGCCTGGCGGACCTCGAATTTCCTGAGCAACATGCCATTTTCGTCTTTGCCAACCTCATAATCCGATCCATTTCCATCCGAATACACAGGCACGGCAGCTCCGTCCTTCGGCGCAGACGCAACAGCCGCCCTCGAGCTCGCAGCCGAAACGGTCACAGACGTATTGCGCGCCCCTCCCCCCCGTAGCATAACGAGGCCCGCCCGAATCCGACAACCCAGACGAGCCTATGTCCCGCTCGCCAGGAGATGTCGCATCCTCGCCAGACTCGAGCCGCGCCGGAGGCCTCGCCAACGTCTTCAAGGGCTGGACGGGGGCCAGGTTGACCAAGTCCCGGCCTCCCATCGCCCAGTCCATCTTCCCTCCCGTCATCTCGCCCATGGCCGACCGCCCGACCGGGAGCCACCCCCCGTGGCCGCTGATGTCCCTGTCCAGAAACCACATAGAGGCCTCTGAACAAGCTCAAGAATGGTTCGCCGAATGAGCGTGCCGCCGCAGCCGATTCGCTTCGCTATGCCATCTCGGAATACCCACTCAGCCCCGTCCTGGATATCTGGTACGCTGCGAAAGACCTGATCGATGCAGGAAAGGCAAGTGCGGCTCGTATCGCAGGTTGGGAACTGCTCGCCGAATGTGTCAAGCACAAATCATCCACCGACCTCGAGCGGAAAGAGTTCTTCCAGACCCTTACGGCGCCCGCCAACCCAGAGGACTTTCATCTCCAGCTCGCATCACTTGTTGACCTGACGAACCACGGCCGCGACCTCTCTGGATTCGACTATGACGTGATTCCGCTACTTCGAAAATGGCTGCGCGAGGCGTACCAAGCTGTTAAGGTGGCCAGGAAGCACGCGAGCCGTGACGCCAAGAGAAACCCAAAGTTGAGAGTCTCTGTAGCGGGCGAAGAGAAGAACCTACAGCAACTCTTTACGTTCATCGTCGAAGTCACCAAATTCAGTTCCAACGTCGCTGACGAGACTGCGCTCGCCGGCTTGGTCAACGCTCTTGTCGCCATATGCCTGAACACGATCGTTGAAGACGATCTGCGTGCGTGCATTGGCGTCATCGATGCCATCGTAACCTTCGGATCTTTGCCCAGCGGCAGCTTCAGGGAATGCGTCTTGGTTCTGGGTTCCATCTTCTGCCTAGTGCCCAATCTCCACAAGCCTGCTTGGCACACTTTGTCGATCATTCTCAAGTCGCACAACGGACACGCCACAGTGAGGGTACTGTTGGACCTTCTTCGCGACCTGCCAGCGGACGGTAACAGCAAGGGCAAGGACACTAGAGACATTCGCGGCGCCCTGGCTGTCCTAGAAAAGCTCGTGGCGAAGAGTACTGAGAAGGGGTACCCCACAGTCCCCTTCACCCTCCTCATGAACGGTCTCGTGGCTACAGTTCAGTGCACGCCGTCAGCCCGGGTTCACTGTGCCGTTCTCAAGCTCCTCAACTCGCTCTTCAGCGACAGTGACGGCAAGCTTCACCACATGATCGCTGAGGAGAACTGGACGACGGCACTCAGCATTGCCACAGAGTGTTCCAAGAAAGCAACTCAGGCCACTTCAGGAGACAACGACGCCACCAAGACTGAGACTGAGTCGGACCGACCTTATGAAGCAATTCGTCGTGAATTGCTGCGGATGATTGCTCGTCTTGAAAGTCTAATGACGAGCAAAAATGGCAGCTTCGTCCCTCGACCCGTCGTCATACAGTTTTTCATGGACGTGCACACTCTGATTCCTGACTCCACTGCCGTCGTTGTGCTTGACTACTTCCAGGAATTCAGATGTTGCTCTCCATCAGATCTGGAGTGGGAAGACAATCTGGCTTTGGTCCGTCGAGGCTTCTTTGGCAATCGGCAGCGCTCTTCGCATGTCCGACTCCTGGCCCTTCGTTCCATCACGGATGCATACGAGATGATGGACCTCGTTGGCGAGGAGATGGAAGAGGACTGCATTGCCACTCTAGTGAAGGATCTTCTTAGCGACGTCTCTGCCGAGACAGATGTTGCCGTTTTAGACGCACTCGTTTCGCTCATGGTCGATGTCGCCATTGCGTCTGACCAGGAGCTCTTCAACTTCATTACCAGCACTCTCAAGAGCCTTGTTTCCAGCGACAGACTGGAGCCGCCCGCCTCGCAAGCACTTTCGCCTGGAGCTCCGCCGACCCTGGAGCGATCTCCGTTTGAGTCAGAATCGTCAAAGTCGGATATTGTCACCCAAGGTTTCGTCCGGCTCTTCATGCGCTGCATGAATGCGAACGGACTAAAATCAGCAAAGCTCTTCGATATCTTGGTCAGCATCGCTCGAGGGAGCCACAACCAAATCGACGCTCGGCTCACAGCAATGAAGCTCCTCTTCAGACTCAGAGCTGACTGGGCCAGCTCCATCTTCCTAACAGTCGATACGGAAGCAGAAGGCCTCGCAGCCTCTCTATACCGTACTGAAGCATCGCTTGCTCGAAAGCAGGCTGGTGACGCCACCTTGTCAGCGCGAGCGTCTAGGGCCGAAACATGGCGGCCTTGTGAGATCTGCCAGAGCTATATCATTCAGTCATGCCGGCACCCAGGATCGATCGTATCCCATCCGATCCGTCAGCGGTGCGAACAAAACCGTGCCGCGGCAAAAGCACTTGTGGTCACTACCTGAACCAAGATGCACTTCCAGAGAAGCCGTCTACAATCGCGAGCTCTGTCCTGGTGTCTTACTCGGAAAAAGGTTTCACAATATCTGTCCAATTCGGAGGAACCCAAGGCCGAAGAGGACAGCATGCACCATGTGGCTCTCAACGTGACAGCATGGTTGAGTACCATCAACACCATTTTCGAGAACGGCTGTGACTGGGAGGTTTTCAGTATGATACTGGTGCACCTGCCCTCACAGCTCAGCAATCATGCCATGTTCCGCGGGGCACTGACCGAGATGCAAAGGCTTCGCCGTGTCGTGTGCGAGCAGATTCGATTGAATGCTTTTCAGGAGCCCCCCACATACACGGGTCTCCGACGGGCTGATGTTGCCATCTGTCTATTCCACAGCTTGACCATGATTCTGAGCTACCATGAACACTTCCTTAAAGACCAAGAAGACGAAATCGTGCGAGCCTTTGTGCACGGTATTTCAACATGGGAGAGGTGCGCAAAGTATTGCATACATGCTCTCTCCATTTGCTGTCATGAACTGCCTCTTTCGACGAGTAAGTGTTTGGTGCAGATGCTCCAAAAGATGGCCCAGATCATCACGCAACCACACGTCGCCATGCACATTCTCGAGTTCCTGGCCGGTCTCAGTCGGCTGCCAGCCTTGTATGTCAACTTCAGGGAGGAAGAGTATCGCATCGTGTTCGGAATCTGCATTCGGTACCTGCAGTACATCCGCGACAAACAGCAAAATCACCGAGCCCTTGAGCTGTCACCAACCACTGTTGATGGTAACTCTGCATCAACGGACGACCTGCCTCAGTACGTGTACTCGCTAGCACACCATGTCATCACTTTCTGGTTCCTGGCGTTGAGGCTCCCGGATCGTTCCAATCACGTGGGTTGGATCGCGAAGAACCTCTTCGCAAACGTCGAGAGCGGGCAAGGCCTTGAAGAGCAAGCCATGGTTACGATTGATTTCATGCAGCGGGTTGCGTATGCGGACGCAAACGAGTCATCATGCGACCCTCTCTTCACCAAGGAGAGATTCGGAGAGATATTGACGCGAAGGTGGCTGATAGGAAATAGCATCGTCACCATTGAGCAGGCCACAGCCACCGGTTGGGCCCAGATTACTAAGAGGCAGCCCTCAGGCACGTCGTCTTATGTCGTCAGGGAGAACTTCCGACCGCCACCCGCTCACCAGACAATGCAAGGAACCGAAGTGGTTCGGGCCAGCGACCACAGTAACAACGTGCTGCCCAGTCATCTGATGGTGCAACTCATGACATCCATCCCACAGACTTCCGAGTCGCTACGGCCCATTCCGTTACCCGACGATGACGCTGTACAGAGAGCTGTCCGAGTTTTCGACCGGAACTCAACGGTTGACGGCCACAAGGTGGGTGTGATTTACATTGGCGAGGGCCAGACAGATGAAGTCGAGATTCTCTCCAACGTGTCTGGCAGCAGCGACTATGTTGAATTCTTGAACGGACTGGGGACCCTCACCAAGCTGAAGGGATCAACATTCAACACCCAGGGCCTTGACCGTGATTACGATTCGGACGGACAGTACACGTTCTGCTGGCGGGATCGCGTCACGGAGATGGTCTTTCATGTCATCACACAGATGCCGACGAACCTCGAACGTGATCCGCAATGCATTCTCAAGAAGCGTCACATTGGAAACGACTTTGTCAACATCATTTTCAACGATTCAGGCCACCCTTTCCGCTTTGACACGTTCCCGAGCGAATTCAACTACGTTAACATAGTCATTACGCCCGAGTCTCGCGCCTCTTTCATCGCGAGTCGTGAGGCGCCGCCTGCGGATAAGCAGCAATTCATGCCGTTTTACAAGGTCCAGCTGATGAGCAAGCCTGGATTCCCGACCATTTCTCCCGCGTCGGAGACCAAGATGGTATCCCTGAAGGCGTTGCCAGGCTTCATTCGCCTCCTCGCACTCAACGCGTCCGTATTCTCCCTGGTCTGGGCCAATCGTGAAGGTGGTGACACAGTCAGCTCGTGGCGAAATCGCCTCCGCGAGATCAAGCGCCTTCGAGAAAAGCATGGCTACACACCGGCTACGCCGACGAACCACCAAATCACATTCGGACAGTCGCCCTTTGGACCGCCACAAGCCGGCGGCTCCACGCCCTCGCCGCCAACCACATCTCTCGGCGGAGGGCACCACGGTGGCAGCCTCGCGGCCGCCACCCACTCCCAGGCTGCTGCCGATCTCTCCAGACCGGCCAGCAGCGTGCGAGACAGTTTCGGCAGCAGCCTGCGCCGATCCTCTGTCGCGACCTTCTTCACAAGCACGAGCGAGCAGACATCGCATCGCAGCTCCATGCTATCAACGACGACAACGACAAACGACACGGAGATTTCGCCAAGCACCGGCCTCGACTCTCTCGTCGAGTCGGTCGATTTCTCCCGGTGGGCTTAACATGCTCGTCGGTATCAGCCGACGCAGTCCACCCTTGTATCATGACCAGACCCTCATCAGCGGGCGCCGTGCTTCTGCATGCAAGGTCTCTCGCGGCCGATTTTTTCAGGCCATAGTGCACGCGTGATGAAGGCAGAGCAACGAGAGCCTTTTTTTACAGCAACGCAAAAGGCAGGACACGGGAAGGGATCGGGCAAGGGAAAGGGAACAGAAGGGGGTTGGGCGCAGGGTTTACGATCACATGCGGATACCAAAAAGTTTTTGTTATTGCTGTTGTTGTTTCCATCACCATAGCACTATTGATTCGAGTCTTTTTCATTTCTTCGTTTTCCATGTTTACTCTCCTGCCTATGGGGGTTTCGTCTGCCATTCCACTTAGACAGTCAATTTTGCCGCGATGGCTACGGTACATGCTTCTTCACCTATTTGTTCTGCTTGTGAATCATACGTGGCTCGGCCGCCTCACGATGATGAGCTGGACATGAGCTATTTGTTCCGCGTAAACTCTCAGGTCAGGCCTTTTTGCAAGCCCGTCGTGTATGTTGCCCAGCGCCGGAAGCCTTTTGTGGCTGTGGTCAGCCGCCGTCATCTGCCATGAAGGAGAACGAGTAAGGAAAGGAAAGGGTGGGAAGAAGACTTGCCTAATTTTTGCATACTCGCGTCGCCGCCTCGCAGACCGTCAACGTACATGTGCTTCATCCCCCTCTGCGCCAGACGGTTCACACACGCACCCACCAGACTGACCAACAAGACGGTATCGTCGCCGTCCGTAGCTTCAGGTGACCCATCTGCGCTCTTCTCCCGGGTCGTCGGGTGTGATGCGGAGACCGGAGAGAAGCGACTCTTCTCCCTTGCAACACACACGCACGTCAGACCTCCCACGTCATCGCCGAGCGTCCTGGCCCACGGCAGGTCTCCGGCGGCAGGACTTCCGTCGCGCGGAACGTAGAGGACCGCCGAGGCGACGACGCCGCGAGGTTGGACCCGACCACGACATCTTCGACATGAGGGGGGCCCTCGAGTCGCGAGAATTGCTCGCGTAGCCGAGCGCTCGCTTGTCTGATGCCGCCATCCCTCTGCTCCGCAAAGGCCACGACACGGCTTACGTCCCCCTCGTCGCAGGCCCGGAACTCGAGACCGGGAACCACTAACGAGAAATGCGGTGGTGCCTCATCGAAAGATACAATCCAGTCCGAAATTTCATTGCCGGGGCCGCTATCGTGCCATCCACGCTTGGCGAACCAGTCCTTGCTGCCAGCATCAAAAGGCACGCCGGCGAGGAGTCGTGGGAAGGCAGAGCCCAGCAGCAAGGCCTCTACGCCCGACGTCCGGCTCAGTTGGGCGAGTGCCACGCCATGCAGGGCGGTGCCGATACCGCGACGGCGATGGTCCGGGTGGACGAGGAGCAGGGCCAGGGAGCCGAGGAGGTTCGAGGTCAAGGTGGAAGGGTAGGTGGTGTAGGTCGCACAAAAGGCTATCAGGGCGTCTGAGTGGGGATCACGGACCGTCAAGTGCATTGCGTAGCCATCGCGGCGAAGGAGGGGCGCCAGCACATGTTGAGGAAGATGGAAGCAGGCGGGCAAGCAGGCGCGCCAGAGGGACGTTATGGCAGGGAGGTCACGGTTCGGGGACCAGAACTGGATGGGCACTTTGGGTAAGGCTTGCGGCGGGCTTGAAGAGGCGTGTGGCCGGAAGAGAAAGCTGGCAGCCTCGACGAGTGACGAAGGTGAGAGGGATGTTGCTTGAATGACGGTTGGAAACGATTCGGCCTGAAGGCTGTGAGCGCAGATGTCACGACAGGCGAGTATAATCTGGGGTCGGTCATCGCCAATCTGGAAGGCTGTAGCAGCTAGGCTAGCCTGCGAAGGCTCTTCGGTCGAAGGAGGGGCTGTAATGACGAAGATGATGGCTTTGCATCTTTTTATGAAGACTTTGTGGGCATCCGTTATGCCGCCGTTCTTAGTGTATGGGACATGCCGCACGAGAGGATGTTGCGTGGCTATTGCCTGGCCCAGGGGTTCGAAGGGATCCTGGAATTGTGGCGTTTCACCCGGCGGCTCAATGACGGGTGTCAAGAGAAGGATGAGATCCTCTTCAGCCAAATGTTTAGCAAGAGGCAGATACTCTAGGTGATCCCAGAGGACAGTGGTCGTCGGGTTCACCATGGCCGCTGATGGGTTTGAGATGTGTTGAGGTGAGGCACCTACCCCAGCCTTTTCCGATTACTTGTCCAGTTGGCTAGGCAAGATAGTGCGGGAAGATGAACTTCAGACCAAGTCGACGAATGAGAGGAGAAATGGACGGTGGCTGTACCAATCAACTGGCGGCGGAGTGATTCTCGAGCGAGAAGAGTTGTTCCCTGCAGTGTTCCCTGTAGTTCGAAAACGGCTTCAGAGTGTTGGCCTGTCGGATGCAATGAGTGTCGGTCAGGTTCTGGTGCGTTTTCTTGGGCATATGGCTCAAGAGATTGAAAACATTATTTATAATTCCTGCGTTTCTGAGCGCTTCTCACAGCAGACCATTGTGCCAATCTAGTGACAGACTTGGAAAGGGAAAACCCAGGAAAGAGAGGGAAAGGAGAGATCCTCTGTCAGTTATCTGAGCCCGGCAACGAGTTGCTGGGGAACGCTGCGAAACAACTTCTCAATCCTGTCGAGATGGCGTCGTCTTAATACTTCAGGTGTTCGGGTTACACAGATTGCAGGACGCCCTATAATGTCCAAGACCGAAGTGCAGCAGTAAGTCATCAATCCTCAGCGGAGGCTGCTCATATCAGCGTGACCAGTGGCAACAAAATGAGTGCGGGGGGGCAAATGGACAATCCCGGTTGAAGGAACACAGCGTGGGACTTATGCAAGACGACGCAGAAAGAGGCGAATCGACCCTGGCAATATGATGGGCAAGTCTAGGCCACCCATCCATGAGCGAATAGGCGTAATCAGTGTCAAGAACTATTGATAGGTTGACAACACTGGTGTTCGGGCTGCTTCGAAGGAGATTGGAGCAGGGTCAGTTTCGGGGTTCTTGTTGACGAAATTGCGCTGTCATCCCGCAGGAGCGGAGCACGCATGTGAAGGAGGCCAGTATGTAGGCGAACGATAAGGCGCGAAGAGCAGAGATCAGGTACTAGGAATCACCCGGGCTCGACCGCGGTGTGAATAGCACACGCTTGGCTTGCTATTAGTGATGTACCAATGGTGAAGGTCGTACAAACGGGCATCTCGTGATGGAGAGTTGGTGTGGAGGTTCAACGAATCGCGCAGGGACGATGACTGAGAGCCATCTAGAATGTCGAGTGCGTTGCGGAACCTGGCGAGGCAGCGTTGCAAGCAGAGGAGAGGAGCGCCGAATCGCGATGCCATCCAGGAGAGATTGATGGTCATCTGGTGCTTGAGCGACTTGATCATGGTGATTATGAAGACAATCCAGGTGATGACCAACAATCGCATCTCGCTACTTTTCTCCATACCGGTGTGCGTAACCCGGCACATAACCGGACATGCAACAATATTCCTCACCGAGTACTGTACGCTTGTTGTACTGCCAAGGTCGCACGACAGGCGCCAGCCTTTGTGGATGGATGGGTTTGGTCAATCGTTGCCTCTAGGGAACTTTTCCGTCCTAACCGGCAGGACATGATGTGCAGCCTTCGGACAATTTTAGAAAAGCTCAAGAGCAGGAAAGCCGTCGGGGAATGGGAGATGTGAGGCGATGCGGTAGCGGACGGCTGTTCCGCACACTGTACATGTTGTTGGGACTCGAGAGCTTGAGATGGAGGATTCCATGTTGCCTTGACTCGGATCGACAAGGCTAGACATGGACTCAAACCATGCGGTGCCTGGCCGCGTACTGACTCAAAGGAAT